GGGGGGGGGCGGGCTCCGAGCGGTCCCCGGGGCGTGCGGCGGCGGCGGGCGCAGGTAGGGGGATCCCGGGGCGGGCGGTTCGCGGCGGAGCCGCCGAGCGGGGGTCGCCGGGGCTGGTGTGCGTGTCGCTTAGGCTTATTTTCAAACATATAAACTCCTTTCTCTGCGGGCTGGGAGCGGGGAGGCCGAGCCGCGGGGCAGGGCGGAGAGGGCAGGCAGGGTCCCGCCGCAGCCGGCCCCTCCCGGGCCGCCATTTCCCCGGGGGAAGGAGCGTTGTTGCTTTTCCTCCGCCGGCCTCGGCCAGAGGCCGCGGACCCCGCGGCCTACAGCGGCATCCCGGCCTGGGCCCGCTTCGCCTGGCGCGGCCGGGCTGGGATGCACCCGGCCGCAAAGAGAACGAGAATAAACAGTGGCCGGGAGCGGCGGGAGGGCGCTGGGTCTGTGACGGCAGAGCCGGGAGCCGAACTTTAACCCCACACTATTTTCCATGTGTGTCTTCCACGCAGGATTTCCCCCCGCGTTAATCACGGCTCCAGGTACCTCTGGAAAAGCCCGGGTGCCTACAGAGAAGCCGAGCGTGGCCGGCAGCCCCCCCCCACTCCCGTTAAGTCTCTCTCTCTGTGTGTCTCACACAGGTGCTGAGCCAGGATGGGCTTCGCTGAAGACCAAGTGTACAATTATATTATGAGAAACCTCAAGAATTTCAGGAACATCCGTGTGGCATCGCTGGCCGATACCATGAGCTGTCTGACCGATGCCGACAGGGTAATTCCCTACTTTCCCGACTCCTGCCGGGCTCCTTCCCCCACGTATAGCTCAGGCAACGTACAGCTGCCGTACCTCTAAGCTAAGACCTTCTTTTAGATGCACTATGTGCTTTATTTAGGATGAACTTCATGCCCGGGAGGAAACGCGGGGGAGCCAGGCCACCGTCTATTACTTTTACCAGCACCTGAAGTGCCGGCAGGGCTGGGTGCTGGATCTCATCGACGCGCTGCGCTACAACAACGCGGGGCACCTGGCCGACGAGCTGCAGCACGAGTATGACTCCTGGCAAGCCCGTAAGTAGCTTCGTCATCCCTGGGTGCTACCCCAGGGGTCTGGTGGAGATGGAGACTTGAACCACATCTCCTGGTGTGCCCCGAGCAGCTGGCCTCTCTCCCTGCCCTGGCTTCCCAGGGGCCTGGGGATGTTTGTGACCATCCCCAGGGATGTTCCTCACCATGGTGATGTGCTTGAGGATGGCAAGGTCCCTGTTGGAAGGTGCTTGGGTTGCCAGAGGGCTGGGTTTCTTGCCTGAGGAGAAATGGAAAGGTGAATGAAGGGGTACTGCAGGTTTAGCTGGTGTGGGGACAGAGCAGGGGCATGCAAAGCCTGATGCCCCTGTTCATGAACTTCCTTGGCTTCTCCAGGTCGCCCAGCTCCTGCTCCTGCCTCCTTCCCTCCCGTAGCCAACAATGGCCATCCTGCTGTCTCCTCCATCAGTGCCCAGACGCCATCCCTGGGGCTGAACCCAACTCCAGGAGCTCCACTGGCTGAGCGACGAAGCCAAGACCACCCTGCTGGCAGCCGTCCACCTCTCCTGCCCAGTGATGCCACCACCACAAGCACAGACCTGGACGCCAGGGCCCCGGTGCAGGAATCGGTGAGTGGGGCATGTGTCTGAGAGGGACACAAAGGTCCCTTTTGGACTGGAGTTTTGGCGCAGTGGGGTGTGGGGAGCCCGTGGTAGGGTCCGGCTCACAAAGGGACACCCTAAGCAGTCTCTTCCTTCTGATCTTCGCTGCGTGGTTGCTGCATCTGATAACTTACAGCTTACGTATGGCCCTGTGACTGCTCCCGTCCTGCTTCCCCTCTGTGGGTGGGAGTGCAGGGTCTGCTCTGTTAGTCCAGGCTCCCCTCCACAGCCCCTGACCCCATGCAGACCTCCTGCAAGCCCTGTGATGGGTGCCAAGGAGAGAACCCCTTCATCACCAGGCTTGTGTGGGTCACTGGGTGAGGGTTTGGGGCACCCTGGTGGTCTCTGATCCCTGGTACAGCAATTTGACACAGCTCATTTCCTTCCAGCTCTCCAAAAATGTCCTGGAGCAAGAGAGTTCTCAGCCACCTCCACCTGGGAGCATGGTCCATGATGGGGCGAGTGATGGGCACAGTGGAGAGGGGCACCTCCTGCACCCCACCAAGGCCCCACAGGTGGCAGCAGGGACCCCTGTGGCAGCCAGTGTGGCCGTGCCATCGGCTGCCCCCTCCGAGTGGGGCCGGGACTGGCTGAGCCGCCAGCAGCACCCAGTGTGTGTGGACAATGGGTGTTTTGGGAACGCCAACCACCTGCACCGTGGTGCACCCAGCTTGGGTCTGGGCAGGTCTCTTCTGCCAAGGGACACAGGCGTTGCTCACAGCCCTGAGCAGCCCAGGAACGAGCCCGAAGAGAACGTCTATGTCTCCACTGGGTCGCTCCCAAGGCTGGAGGAGACTGCTCACAGTGGGGGGCAGCAGCCCCCAAACTCGCTGCCAAAAAAACAGGCTGTGTCTGGCCCTGAGCATGGAGAGCCCCCGAGCAGCTTCGTGGATGTGCGCAGCCCCCTCCTCATACAGCAGCAGTTCGATGCGGAGCAGAAGCAGGTCATGATGCTGCGAGAGCACAGAGGAGATGAAGGTGGGTTTTCTTCCTATTAGTTTTGTGCAGCCACTGTGCTGACAGGGAGCAGGGTTTGAAGGTGCTGCCAGATGCCTGTTCTGCTTGACGGCGAGGGTGGTGTGTGGCAGAGAAGGTGCAAGTGTGGGTAGGTTCCCTCTGGGAGGTCATGGGGACCCTCCCAAAGAACAGCAGTAGCTGTGGCTGTTGGTACAGGACAACCCAAGGTTGCATCTGCCTTTCTGGCCCATGAGCACTCATGGAAGTGCAGAGAACAGCTCTCTGTGCTCTTCTCTCAGTGACCTCCTCCAGGAAGGGAGAGAGCTCAGGTTGTGCAGAAATCCAGCCTGGCAGCTTGTGTTCCCCTGGTTTTCCCTTTCCAGTTGTTGCTTCTGTATTTTGGCACAACAACCTGACTAGGAATTGGCAGAGGCACTTGCCTCGTTTCTGTTGTCAAACAGCCTGCTGAATGTCTCTGCACCCCCATTTCAGCAGGTTGGAGCTGCTCTACTCTGAAGGGAGGAAGAGACTGAGGATGACTGCTTGGCTGGTGCTGTCTCATTTACCTGCACCTGCTGGGCCAGCTTTGGTGCCAGGGCCAATGCAGGCAGCATCCAGTGGTGCTGGGTCCTGCTCCCTGTGTGACCTTCTCAGCTCTGGGAGTATCTGTTGCAGCATCCTTGAGGAAGAGCAAAACTCACCTTTTAAGTCTCCTGATTAATGCAATACATTTTGTTTTGTCTCCAGTAGGCACTCGGATGGAAACAGCTACTCCGGTCGCTACCCCTGCGCCCAGAGATGCTTTTCCATCCTGCGACACCTCCATGAAGCCTCCTGTACAAGAGAGGAACATGCCCCCAGGGGAGATGGCCAGCAGCACATTCTCCATGCCAATGAAGGAGAAAGTAGGTGACCTTTCCTGTTGCCACTTGCATTTCATTCAGGTCCTTGTAAGCTCTCTCTGGATAGAGATTTGTTGCTGCAGTGTAAGATTTTGAGATGCTGTGGTGAGTTTATTCAGGGCTTATTTTCCCCGTTGCATTCATTTCCTTGTCCAGATGCTGTACTTTGGAGCACGGGACAAGAGAGCTAAGGTTTGTCAGGCTTTGACTCCTCATTTCCCCGCCTTGACTTGCCAGTCAGTCTTCTGGCTTCCAGGTGCCTCTTTCTTCCCCAAATCCCAAAGGCTTCCCAGAGCCCTAATAGCTCCTTGCCCTGCTCACTCTTCCAGCTCTGGGAGTTACCTGTGACCCAACCTCGCTGTTAGTGGCTGGAGATGATGTGGTTGAGCACTGGAGTGGGCTTGTTGCATGACGTGGGTGCCTGAGACCAGGCCACATGGGTGCTCCTTGTGACACCCAGCCCCTCTCCTTTTCTCCCAAAGGTCCTCATGGCCTCGTTGGACCCTCTTCCAACTGATGCGGGAAGCTTTGAAGGCACATCTGCGAGGACAGCACCCCAGATGAGCTCTGCCACGAGCATCTGGACTCCTTGCACCAACATGGAGAGCGACATGGAGCTCAGCAAGCCAGGTGTTCTTCTCTCCATGGCTAGGGAGAGACCAGAGGCAACTGGCAGATATCTGAGGTCTCGGGGGCCCGATGGCTCCTGTTCTGGGACATCCAGTAGCCTCACCTTGAACAGCGACCCGCTCATGGTGAGCACAGATAGCTCAAGCTCAGGAGAATTTTCCTCTGGAGTCGCCTCAGGATGTCTGGCTCCAGCAGCTTGTGAAGACCCCAGGGGAGAGGAGGCAGCCAGAGCAAGCAGATACTCCTGTCCATCTCCAAGATGCAACAGCACCTCCTTGGGCACCCATGACATCCACGTGGACCAGGATCCCAGCATCCAGCTTGGGACAGGCAACGACCTCCGAGATGGAGCCGGTTCCCTTGGAAACCCTCCAGATTTTGTCTCAAACAGAGGCCATGGCACTGTGAGCAGCTCGTCTCAGGCCAGAGTCCCCCCAGGGGACAGCAATGGACCGTCTCTGCCATACATTGTTCCAGCTGTGGGCATTGCTGTGATTTCTGCTGTGGCGTTTCTGGTGTACACTCGATTGCAGAAATAGCGCTGGAGTGGGTGGGATGCCACAACCATCACTCAGCCTGGGCAATTCCTTTTTGTAGCAGGAATTTTGCCAGTGCATATGAAGCCTGAAGAGCAGCAGCAGGGGGGGCAGTAGGGGCGTTGTTAAATCTCTTTTGGGGAGTTTTGCTGAAAGGGGCCTTGGTTGTGTGATGCTGTTGGGTTTGGGTCTGTTCCCCGCCCATTTCCCAAGCATCTTCTTGTTGTAGCCTTCTCCTTTTATAGCCACAGAGAGGCTCTTGCTCAGGGAATGAGCCCTTGAGTCAAAAAAGAAAGTTCTCATGGCACTTCTCCATGTCTTGCTTGTTTGGTCACAGGGAAACATGTCCTGGTAGTCCAAAGGGTGACCTCCCAGGTCCCTCAGGCAGTGCAGCAAGGAGAGGTTTTGCAGAGGTTCTGCAAAAGTGGAGCTGAGTTTGTCCACTCGGTTCATCTTGGTTTGAAAATGTGTCCAAGCGTCTGTGCAGCAGCCTGCACCAGGTGCCCTGTGTTGAATTTGCCTTATTTGGTGTTTCTGGCTCTGCTGCTGGGACCTTGACTCATCTCTGCTGCTCCTTTCCCCAGGTGCTGGGTGCGTGGGCAGGACCCTGGTGCAGCAAGTCATGCTGCCTTCTGCTCATCTGTGACAAGAGATGTCCCTGTGATGAGAATGCACCAGCTGTCCCCTCTCCCAGGAGCTGTTGTCCTGCCTTGGTGCTTTGCTTTGGAGCATCATCCCCTGGTCCTGAGGATCAGGGATAGGCTCTGGGATCGATTCATGCAGCCCTGACACACTGGGGATGAAGCTGAGGGTCAGGAAAGAGCCATATCTAAGCAGCTTTCTCAAGGATCAACATCGTTTCACCCTCTCCAAGCAGGGAAAGAGGGTTATTCTTTAAGAGGAATGTTTCATGCAATGCCAGCATTAAGCAGACTCAGTTCCACACAGGATTGTTGGATGTTTTTGCTCCTTAGGCTGTATTTTGGAGCCTGGCTAGAAGGGTGAATGTAGTTCTCACCTTTCCTGGCACCTGGGGCTATGGGATAGGAATATAGGAAGCTTGCGTGTCCAGGCTGGGACACAAATAGAATCAACCCTGTGCACTGCAGGGTGGTTGAGATGCCCTGGCTTCTCTTGAAGGTCTCACATAAAATTGCAGCCCATAATTTTCCTTTTCAGCTTGGAATGCAAAGGGATTGGGCTACAAGATTTCTAAGACAAAATTCTGATACCCAAATAAATATCCCCAGCTTCTCTCTGCCCGGGGCAGCTTTCAGGGGCAGGAGCGACTCTACTCAGTTGCTGTTGCACACATTTCCAACTCTAGGCAGAGTTTAGTGATGTGACTTCTGTTGCTGCAACTGCAAGATGTTCACCTGCTCTCATCTGCTCCCTCCCAAAAGCAGAGGGGCACAAAGGTAACAGAACTACTTTTTTGTAGTTAGAGAGTTAATTTAGCTAGAGGACTTCTAGTTCTTTTTAAGCTCTAAAGGTGCCAGTGCAGACTTTTGGGTTGTCCTACCCTCCCATGATGCTGCGTGGCAAGCAGGGAGCTGTGGCAGGAGGCAGGACTGAGTACAACAATTGGCAATCTGGTGGTGGATTTGCACAGCAGAAGGGTCGTGGCCATGAGCTGGCATGGTTTGGATCCATCGAGCCCTCAAGAATGCCATGGGCATTAAACTATTGAAGTGGGCTGGTGCTGAAGGCCAGGCTGTTGCTTCTTCCCTGCTTTACTGTGTCCAGTAACTTATTCCTCCTGGATTCCTTCCACTTGGCACAGCTTCCCAAAATACAACCCTCCTGCTGGCAGGGGAGCAGGAGGGAGATGAACTCCCTGACGCCTGGCTGCAAAGTGCAGCCATCGTGCCCGGAGCTCAGCCTGGGGTGGGAAGGGTCTGTCAGTCCCATGAGAGGGCACACGGCTGCTCCTCCCTCCTAACAGTTCCCCTTTGCCCAAAAATGCAAGAAGTGCCTCCCTTAAACGATAAGGACAATAAATATATGCAATAGTGAGGTGTTGATTTTGATCTGACGAGCCTGCTCTTCAGGTGAACTTGAGATGTTCATCACTTGCTCAGTGCCTGGCACTTCATCCCTCAGAGGAAGGGATGGTGCTTTTAAATACCCTTGACCTCCTCTGCTGAGAAGAGGGAACGTGGGGGCTGGCCTTCCCATTTGAAGATAACGTGGTGACTTGTCCAAAACCTCCCCATAAGCAGGGAGAAGGACCTGGGATTCCCCATCAGCATTCCCCAGTATGCTGGTAGTTTTTCCTCAGCTTTTGTAGTTTCATCAGTGAGGGCTTTGTAAAGCCCTGTCACCCCCCTGTGAAAGCTGCAGTTTTCAGCACTAAGAATTGCTCTTTGTTTGCAGTCAGTAAGGAAACCTTCCCAAATCCTTTCACCTTGTTAAAAGACTCATATTTACAACTGAATGTGGCATTAAAATAAAACAGAATACATATCTTAAAGCAGAGTACACGAGCCTGCATAACCACATCTCAGAATCCATCCCCAAATTAATTAAGGGGGGGGGGGGTGGGTGTGCCTTCACACGCTTTCTGTGTGACTCAGGAGGAAGCCTGTGAGATCCCAAACCAGCAGCATCCGTACCAAGGCCCTGTTCTCTGATGCTTTACTTGTCTGCAAAATTCGTTGTGTATTTTCCCACTACTTTTTAAGCAGTGAATTCTGTGCTTTGCCTTTTCGCATCAAATTACTCTTGTGAAACAGCTGGTTTATCACCACTTCAGGCTCGATAAAAGTGCACCTTCAGTTTTCTGCTGTGAAGTGCTGGTATTTTCACAGTTGTGATGGAGCACTTTAAAAGCGGGATCAGCAGGTGAACCTGTAGGAGGGAACTGTGTTCCTGCAAATCTTTTTAAAAAAAAAAAAAAAAAAAGCTTTTTACTAATGTATAATAAAATCATTTGCCACTTCACACCCGACTTGTGAGGTTGCTCTGTGTGTTTGTAAGATGAGGGGGATGGATCTCAGCTTCTGAAGCCTCTGTGGAGCAAGGGAAGTTTTCACATAAAAATTGGTTGGATAATTAAATCCCCTAATTTACCTGCTCAGGGAGTGGAGGCTGCAAAGAAGGATCCAAACAGCCCTCTTCAGCTTTTTGGGGGGGGTTGCTCAAGTTCATCCACCTTGGTTTTCCCACTTAAGAAGACAGGTGCTTTTAATCAGAGAAGGCTGTTGGTACAACTTTTGCCATAGTCAATTTCAAGCAACTCAATCTGTGGAGTGTTTCCCTTGCTGTGGAGCTGTGTTTGGATTTCCTGGAGAACCCTTGCCTGCATATCAAGGAGTGTCTGCTGGGAATTCAGCTTCCTCACCTCTTCCTCAGCCCGTCTCTGGGCAGCCAGTTCCAGTAAGACCCTTTGATCTTTGGGGTTGTGTATTGGGCGTGTCGAGGTGACACCTCCTGTTCAGCATCCGAGACTAGAGGTGACCTCCCAGGGTTTGGGGGTATGTTCAGACAGTGCCAAGAACCACTGAATCTGCATTCCTCTCTCTGGTAAAGGGGGCAGGTAAAGCCCTCTCTGTTGCTCATAGCAACATCTGGATCTGTGCCGGGGTCTTGAGGAGCAGGAGGTTTATGAAACTTGCCAGAGGAAATGCTTTGAAGGACACTACAGGCACTGACACAGCAAGACTAAGGCCATCAGTCCATATCAGGAAGAGGCAGACAGGATTTGGGGACAATTTTCCATCCTTGTTTCGGAACAAGCACAATTCCTGGTCCAGTGGATGCCCATCATGGTGGGTCACAGGAAGCCCAGACAGCAGGTCCAGGATGAAGCTGGGAAGTGTGGTTCTTGAGGCAGCTTACAGCTGAGCTGCAGAAGTCGTCTCCTCGGGATGTTGTGGTTGCCAAAGAGGAACTGGACGAGTTCTGGGAAGAGAAATACACCAAAAGCTTTTAGGCTGAGGTCTGAGCCGCACACTGTTGCAAGCTAGAAGACTATTTGGGAGCAATAGAGCCATAGGCAGCTGTGGCTGGGTGGTGGCAGGCTGGGAGGGAAGAGACTGGGTATAACCAGGTGGACACCATGAGCAGATGTGTGCTGAGGTGGACAGTATTTAGCAAGCCCAGCACACTCCTCACACTTCTTCCTTCATGATCCAGATTGTCTGGTTGAATCAGATCCTGGTATCTTGCACAAAAAAAGGGAGCTGGGCCACCTTTGCCACCCTGGGTTCAGCTCTGGTGTGCAGCGGTGGTTGTTCCCCAGGTGCCGCTCCTCATCTGCTGAACAGCTTTGGGCTCGGCCTGATGTGCAGAAGAGATACCAACATCACCAAGAACACTGCTGTGCATGGCTCCGGCTCACCCCTGGCTGATGAGGGAGCCCTAGGGGTGAGCCGTGTGCCTTTTGGGGACAGGTAGGGGACAGCATGATGGAAACAGCCCTTTTCAGTAGCATTACGTGCCTTCTCCACGCTGCCTTTTACGGTAGAGGCTCCTAAGGGCTCTGCTGTGTATTCACAGCTGAGAGAGCCTGCTAGCTCCCCTCACTTTCTGCTTTCCCAGCTACAACTCCTGACGTACAACTCAGGTATATGAGACACACTCGGGGCTCGGTACTGACAATACCCAGAACTTCAGGCAGCGAAGCTCAGCGAGTTTGATTTTTAGCAAAATGAGGGCAATGCGTTTATGAAGAAGGGTTATTTTTATTCAGAGAGGTTATGTTTTATCTCATATTGGTACCAACCCCATCTGTAGGCTTCCTGCACTTGCCCAACAGGATATTAAAATTATACAGATGAAATTTGACCCATCTCTTTGTCCTGTTTTCACCTCAGCAAACAGAATTCAGCAAAATCTTGCTGAAATTATTACACCTTTTTTGAACGTCAGTCACTTATCCCTTTGGTATCGAATTAATGCCTGAGGATTGTGGTGAGCTGAGATTAACACGATGCAGGTGAAGAACACTGTGGGTCACTGGGTTGCAGTTCCACACTTGGCCGTACTCTAGGTATGTCAGGTGCCAATTAACATTCCACCTACGAACCTGCATTGTGTTACAGCGGGAGCGGTTGCGGCATAATATACTCTGGGAGTCTGTTTTCCTCTTGAATGTCATCCTGTTATCGTTGCTTGCACCCCTCTTTATGGTCACCTCAATTTTTCTGCTGCCTGGATGGCTCCTGCTGTAGTTGTTAGCCCAGAATTGATAGGATTGTAGGGCCAGAATTTAGAGAACAGGATGCATCAGCAATTAAATTAACTTAAATTACATTGTGATTTATAGGGCAGCTGGATTGGGGCAGATTGGGTCAGATGCATCCTGAATCCTTGACTCATTTCATTGTCTTTCCTCTGAAATCCTCTGAAATCCAGCGTTTCCATCTGCCCTCACTGGAAGAGGGTGTCGGGATCCCACTTGATCTCTGAGGCCTTGTGAAGGGGAAAATAACTTCTTTCTGCTGTCTGTCTGTCTGTTTCTTCCTTGTTGGGAAGGAAACCTTAGCCCTCTCCAGCAAGGCCAGAACCCAACTAGTTGTCGTCCAGGAGGTGTCGGGCTCAGAAACATCTGATGCAGTTTCACTTCACGTCAGTGGGGTTACTGTGGCCCAGAGAGGCAGCCTCCCAAGACGAGGCTTTCCAGCATGGCTTTGGGACGGATCCCCCTCACGGGCAGCGCCAGCAGTGACACTCTGGAAGTTTCCCAGAGATGGCTGACGAAGGAGGAGCTGGAGGAAGGGGCGAGTGATGGGTGGGGAAGGAGGTTTCGGCCCCAGGCCCTTAGGAACACCGCGGCAAAGACCGTGGGCGCAGGCCCGACATGGCGGGGGCTACGGAGCCGCCCCACCGTGAGAGGACGAAGGAGGCCTTGCTCTCTGCCTATGCAAATCGTATGCAAAGCAGCCCCCCCGCGCGGCCCTGTCCAACCGGGCCTACTGCGGTCTTCCTTACAGCCCCCGTCGGCGTTTCCATAGTTACCCGGTCTGTCAATCAGTCTGCCTTCTCCCGCCCCGCCCGGCAGCCTGCTCACATGATTGGATACCAGTCGTGTCATTCTCTTCCCAAAGGAAAACCATAGGCCAACGTTGCCGCATAGTGACCCGCCCCCGCGGGCGCATTAATCCCCGCCCCTTACCGAGCTCGCACATGCGATTGGGTCCCCGCCCTTGTCACTACCCGCGGCCGAGCGCGGGGGGAGGGCCTTTCGCCCCGCTTGCCGTCCGATCCCTCTCTCCCATTGGCGGGGCCGCCTCTCGCTCCGTGCGACAGAGGGCGCGGATTGGGGGGGAGGAGGCGCACCGGGGCCGGGGGCGCGCGCGGCGCGCGAGGGGGCCGTTTGGCGCAGGCGCGGTGCGAGGCGGCGGC